ATGAATTTTAAGTGCAATTTTACTGCAAATGCAGGGCATGGCAAAACATCTCCAGCTTTTCCCGTTTGTTTAGCCAAGGGAGATTCATTCCTTATTCCAAATGAAGTTTAGGGCAGTGTGAGAGAAAGAGACCCACTAATTGTACTGAAGTACTATTATTTTGCCCAAAGGCCAATTTCTTATGTTTCAGAGGAAAATGAATCCACCTCCATCAAGGGCAATTGGCAGAAATATCGAAGTTCAGAAAATAAATCGCCTAATTTTGTAAATATGTGTACAAGAATGAAGTGCATGTATTTTATTCTTTAAAACTGAAATTAGTTTATTAATTTAAGAAGTAGCTAAAATAAATCCTTTTTATGTTTGTCTTCAATTAATTTAACTTCAAAAGACACCATATTTGTTTTGATACATATTTCCAAATTGTGTAATTTTCTACCGGTCTTGTGTCTTCAAGGCTGCTGACTTGGCGACCAAGCAGTGGGGAGGCTGGCCCTGTACCTCCCTCTGATGCAAGAGAAAAACTGGTAAGCTGTTGAAACAAAAAGCAGTTCAAAAACATGCAAGAGTTTGGTCAAAATATGTTGTAATGTGAAATAAATGGAAAATATGCCAGTTTAAACGCATAGTTTAGGTTTGACTTATCTGGAAAAAGAAACATTTCCATTTAAATTACTGTTTAATGATAAAAATTGCTAAGGGGTTTAGAAAGCAAAGTGAAGATTGCAGCATTTGAAGTGGGCTTGGAGCGAGCCAGTATCAGTGTGTGTTCTAGGTAACATGCTGTGTCTGGTGGGTCCCTGCCAAAGGTGATACTGTGTTTAGAGGTAGGTTTGTTTGCTTAATACTCATTTTCATGATGATAAAAGGCTGGAGGTAGGTAGATGTAGGAATTTTATTTTATTTTAAATTTTCACTGATAACCCCAACTTCACATTAATTTAAAACTGCAAATATACATACCCTTTGGATTTTCTGTGACTCATAGAATAAATGAATGTGAACTTTGGATTTGCTGGTAAGTGACAGCCCTTGGCTGCTGATGACAATTAGTTTAGATTTTGGATAGTCACACAAGATTGTTCTTTGTAGGCTAATGAAGCATTTGGTAAGAAATTGTAAGGAGCAAAAGGATAAAGAGCAAAACCATTTTTACTAAGAGACCAACTGCCTCTGTTTATGGAGTGTTAATTTAATTTACTTAGAATATAAACATTAGTGGTGGCCAATGCCCATTATACAGTTGTTTGACGTCAGTGTAACTGTTGTTGCCTGCCACAGATCTGATCTGCTTATGTCGTACATGACAGCATGCAAAAATGCCAAGTGTGTTAAGTGAATGTGAATGTACTGCAAGATTTCTTTTCTTTGAGATAGTTTAACATGCAAATTTTCAAGAAGATCATGCTTATTTTCACTATAATCAAAACTTCAAAAATAAGCGAACTTGTATAATAAATAGTATTAAAATAGATATATTTGGGGTGCGTTCTTTTGGTAAAATGCATTTTTTTTCAGGTGTTAGATATGTCCATCTATTTTCTCTTCAGATAGTTCGAATAACCTTTATAATATGTACAGACATAAGATCATTTTGTCTTTAGTATCATATATTAAAAATGTATATGTATATTAGTGGTATGAGGGTTGATATGAGCCTTATGGGAGCTGCGTGCTCAGCTTTCAGCCTTACTGGCAGTGTAACGCAGCCCAGAAAGGCCGGGTTCTAGCAAGGGGCTCCGACTGCTGTATGTGTATGTCTGCTTTGGAGTTAATGGTAAAGCTCTTTATTATTAATCACAGGAATTACTCCTGCCTCTGTCGCTGATTGCGTTTCGGGGGAAAGCAGCGGCGTCACGGCGGGTTTTGCTTTTCCTGCGGTGCCCGTCTGCCACACGTACCTTCCCCTCCCTCCCACCCCAGTCCTCTTACTGTGGCAAGTTCCTGTGTACCTCCCTAAACTCACTAGCAGGAGCTTCCAGTTGGGATCCCTGAGGGAGTAAAGGCAAGCAAAGATCACAGTCTGGTAACAGCTTCTGGTGCTTGGAGTCGCCATTCAGCAGCTCGGTGTCCAGCCGAATACCGATTTTCAGTTTTTTCTAGTAAGACATTTTTTCAGTAAGCCTCTCTTGAATGCCAACATCGAGTATCACTAAGGTGAATGCAAAAGTGATCGCAGAAATAGCAAATGTCATAGACTTGAAGAGCACAGCGTTATTTAAGATGAGCTTGCTGAAGCTTTCTGTAAGTTAATTTTTTGGCTTTCGTTTCAGGACACGGTCTCGCAGAAGTCAGTAGATATCCATGATTCTGTTCAGCCTCGATCTTCAGATGGACGTTCGTATCAGCCCACTGCAGGGCCCTCAGTAGGTGAAGAAATGAGTAAAACCAGGCCAGCAGCGAGTGAGTGTTTCCTAATGGTTTGATACTTACATATTTTGCATCTGTTAAGAGCGTTAATTCACAAATATTCTAGATCTTTAGTTGTATCCCCAGCCATGATTTTAGAAATGTCATGTGGAGAAAATTACACTGATTTGCCTCCATGTAGTATGAAAGATTGCCCTTGGACTATTGTGGGTCTGCATTTTTGACCTGTGATTCAAAAATCCACAGTCTAGCTGCTGATTTACAGACTGATCAGTCCTGGCTTTAGAAGACTAATTCAGATGGGTCTATTTCAGGTTTATGAATGTTTAGAAGTGTGCCCAAAGTTGAGCTATTTTGGGATAATTTTAAGAGGAGATTAAAAGGAAAAGTGTAAAAATTCTTTAAATTAACAAGAATTTTGTTTGTTTGTTCATTTTAAGAATTTCCAGAGCAGAAGTTGTTTGCTGCTCTTCTGATCAAGTGTGTTGTACAGCTGGAACTCATTCAGACTATCGACAATATTGTATTCTTCCCAGCAACGAGCAAAAAGGAGGATGCAGAGAATCTAGCAGCAGCACAAGTAGGTAGAAGACCATTACGAGTGAACTTTTCAACTTTTTTTCTTTCTTTTTACAGATGTAGTGGATTAATTTTCACATGTACCTCTAACACTTTCCAACTCACAGTTTTTAGAAGTGCTAGCGAATTTCCCCCAGGCTGCGTTGAGATCTTCCACATCTTTCATTAAAATGGATTTGCTGTGCAGGAGCAAAACACTATGGCAGTTCAAATATAGATATTCTTCAAGAAATTTTGGTAATTGGAGTGTGGATGCAACTTTTAGTACGACTTTAAGTTTCAATGCAGCTGCAGATAAAAACGAGGTAGGATTGAGTTACCACAGTGTCTTACTGAAGGTGGTTGTGAATTCAGTGTTGAAATCTCGTTTTAGAGAGATGCAGTAGACTTTGATGTTCATGTGGATACACAGGATCAAGGGATGTACCGGTTTCTAACATCACAGCAACTTTTCAAACTTCTGGATTGTCTGCTGGAGTCTCACAGATTTGCTAAAGCATTCAATTCAAACAACGAGCAAAGAACTGCTCTCTGGAAAGCAGGTAGGTCAGTCGGTTCACAGAAATATTTTTCAAGAACATGTTACTGTGCTTTGAATTGACCCAAGAATAGGTCAAAAATTACTTTGCTGAATGTGATATCGAATGTCAGGCTGTAACTTTATAACCCTGGAAGTCCTAGGGGAAGGAGATCTCATCTGTGCAGGTCAAGTATCTGTTCCCTTTCACAAACCTTAAGGTTTTGCTGGTTTACCTTTCAGTGTGTAAAGCAGCCAGTCTGAGCTGCTGCCACAAATCTGAGTCCTGTGTTTGGAAACGGCAGACACACAACCCCAAAAGCTTGTTTGGTTTGGGGGGGTTGTTTTGTGTACAAATGTATGAGTGAAATAAGTGCTGTTCTCTGAAACTGATGGAAAATGAATCTTTGTAGCATTCTGATTTAATCCATTCCTTGCACCAAAGTCAGCCACATTAATATTTTAACAGTGAATACATCACATGAATATGCAGCAACCTCTTCAGTGCATGAATATGTGCATACACAAAACCATCTTAATTTGAGTGGGGTCATATAAATATTTAAGTATGCTTTTTGCTAGTGTGGAGCTCTCTTAGTGATTTCAGTTTAATGATCCTATGTGTTCACACAGTAATAGTTTTGGAAACAGTAGCCTCTTAGTGTTTGTTTACAGCAAAAGCACTTAAAGCAGTCTACCCTGTAGCTGTGCTTTTGAAACAGAATGATCCATTGGCAAGACAGCACTTGGGTTTAAGAATTTTATTCCTCGCCTCCATCTCAATTACCCTGTCAGCTTGGCTGTTAAGTCTCTGCAGTGAGGTTTGTTGGGTACAACAACAGCAACTTACAACTCTGCAGTATACAGCTATGCAGTAACCATGACCTAACTACTGGAATAGCACATAATTCTGATCGTGGGAGTTCCCATTCATGTCCAAACTTAAAATGATCTATGAGCAGCCTCAGGCACTGTCAGCTCTCAATGTTCAATCTCAAATGTTCGAAAACGGAGTGGTGTTAAGGTGAAACACAGGAAGTTTAATCTCCATGTGAGGAAGAACTTTCCTGTGAGGGTGACAGAGCCCTGGAACAGGCTGCCCAGAGAGGCTGTGGAGTCTCCTTCTCTGGAGATCTTCCAAACCCGCCTGGATGCCACCCTGTGCCACGTGCTCTAGGTGTCCCTGCTGGAGCAGGGGGGTTGGACTAGATGACCTCTAGAGGTCCCTTCCAACCTCAACCATTCTGTGGTTCTGTGGGTTTATGTTCTGTGGGTTTATGTCTGTCATTATGTCTATGAATTTTCACTTGTATAGCCCTACCTGAGATACTGGGTTTTGAAAGGACCTGTTCTGTGTTGTACCAGAAACATCTAAGAGGAGTAACCTGGAAGTCTGTGTTGGGTAGAAGGAAGATCCCCCACTCTGCATATTCTAACAAGCACCAAACAAATACTAAGGTTTTTCCAGTGCATGTGGTGCGTGGTAAAGCAGTTTCACTGCCTGAAGATCTTGTCTAGATGGGCCTGTAGCTCCATGGGGGCAGTTTGTACTTTGAACTCATATACTGAGTTTCAGAGGGTGAGGAGCCAGAGTGCCTTGATCATAGCTGCAGTGGGTGCCTTGGCAATGCGGGTATTGGCTGCAAGGTTAAAGTTACTTGTCAGAAACCATCTGTTTTTTTTCTCCCTAGTTCAAGTTTTTCTGCAAGCCAGCAGCATGAGTTGCAGCTTTAGTCCCCCCTTGCTGCTGGGTAAACTGAGGCACAGATTTATCAAGGACTGTCAAAAATTCCCATTCCAAGCAAGCTTAAGACTTTGTGGAGTGCGTTCATCCTTTGTTCAGACGTATCCTTGTCACACAGGTTTCACATCTGCTTGGAAACGTGCAAAAAACAGATACAAAATGCACTGGCCTGGTGCATTTTCATAGGCTAAATGTTTTCAGTGCTTCCTTGCACTGGGTACGCTGGAAAAACACAGCAGGTGCTGCCTCCAGCAGTCTGCGTGCAGAACACAGGAACTGCAAGCTAAAAAGAAATACTTTAA